CAGCAGGAACGGGCCCTGCAGGTTGGACTCCATGGCCCCGCCAAAGGGCCAAGGGGAGGTGGGAAGCCCAAATCCAGACCCCTAGAGCCCCCGAACTCCGGCCCAGAATCCCATGGCAGCTCCGGAGAGTCAAAGCTGTCCCAGCCCCAGGCCGCCCTCCCACCCAGGCATCCAGCCCAGCCCTTGCCCAGGGCCGCGACCACGTCAGCCGCGGGAAGTCAGGTGCTCCCAGGGCAGGTGCGAGCCCTCCCAGCGCCCCTGCCCTCTGTCCCTGCCCGGCCTGGGGAGAGGTGGCTCCCCCCGCCTCAGCTCAGGCCCGTTCTCTGCCTCAGAGTCTAGGGATCCTCCATGAGAAGTTTCAAGTTCAGAGAAGCAACATTTCCCTGATAAAGATGGGGCCCATTAGAATACAGACCCGAGACTGGCTGAGCTGCTCGAGCCGCATCGCCATTGGTGGAAACCCTCACGGGCCTCACATTGGCTTTTCCTAGACAAATTGCACTTTGAAAGATTGACTGTAAAATCAGCCAGCGTGTGTGTGTGTGTGTGTGTGTGTGTGTGTGTGTGTGTGCGCACACGCACGTCAGAGAGAGAGAGAGAGAGAGAGGGAGAGAGAGAGAGAGAGATGGGGGGTGTGGGGAGAGAGAGGGGGAGAAAGAAAAGAGAGAGTGCTCTGGAACCTATGTTCATTCTCAGAGGGTCCACCAGCTCCTGGTCCCCCAAGTGAGCATCTAGGAAAAAGCGCTCCGGAGGGCCCCTGGGGCAGCTGGAGGGCACAGTTCCTCCAGCTGCCCCCACTGCGGGCTCAGGGGATGCTGTTCTGAGGTGTCCAGGCCCCTTTCTGTGCACATGCCCAAGCCTCTGGGGGAGTGTGCAGTCTGGACACTGATGCTTCGCTTCCCTCCTCCGTGCTGGGCCGGGTAAGTGGGGAGGCTGGACTTTGGGGCCTGAGAGCCTGGGGGTGGGAACCTGCCAGGCAGCCTGGGGCAGGGGGTGGGAGTGGGGCATCTCTGGGAGTACTGGCTGTGGGTGCTTCCTGGCTCTGCCTCTGCCTCTGGGCAGCCTTCCCTGATCCCTCTGTCCTCCCTTTCTCCTCCTCTGAGGACTCATTTGTGCCTCTGCCATGTTCTGCCTGGCTGGGCACCTGGGATGGAAACCTCTGATGGCTGAGATGGCCGTTGATTCAGTGGCGGCACCTGTGCCGGGCTCTAGGTTGGTGTTCAGTAAATATTTGACGGATGAGACTAGGTTGAATCGCCGAGCACCCATATGCCTTTCTTTTCCTAATGAATTTCTACAACATACACGGCTCTACTGGGGTCTCTCTCCTGTTTTACCTACAGGGAAAATGCAGTAAATAACTTGGGTCATTTCTGCATATGGAACAGCATCCTTTCCTGCAGTTTTTTTTTAAAAATGGCAATCAGCATGTCGCTGGTCTGGACATGCAAAATGACAGGAAAAACAGTGGCTGCCTGACAGATGGACTTCTGTCCCTCCTCTGCCTGGCAGTCCCAAAGCCGTTTCTGACCAGCCCATGTTCACCCTCTGGCAGGTGGAGACAAGCCGGCTCCTGGGTTTCCTGCAGGAGGCCAAGGGCCCAGGCTGAGGGGAGGCTCCCCTCGCACAGAGAGCCGGCTCTCCCCATGCTGCTGTTATCTGCTCGGGCTGGAATTGGCCATGACCCTGTAGCGTAGATGACGTAGGTTAACACAAGAAAGACCCCACCAAGGCTGTGGACCTTGTTTTTCTGGAAGTTTGGATTAAAAACGAGAAAATTTCTTATCGGTCTGAAGTGGCTGCACTCCGAAGCTGCCCATCACAACCATTTGGGAAACAGCTCCAGTTCCCAGTGTTGCTGCAGGAATCACCTAGGCAGTTGTGATTCTGAACCTGTGCTTTACAAAACTCTCTGGGTGAGGCCGGTGCACAGCCATGGCTGGTCCCTTGGCCTGGATGTCTTTTCTGATGCTGAGAGAGAAGCTTCACAATCAGAGTGAGGGCGGGGAGTGCTCCTAGGACCCTGTGACTGTGATTTGGCCACCCCCGACCCCCCACCAATGTTGGGGACTTGTGAGGAGGAAAACCTGCAGTAAATAATTTTATTCTTATTTATCACCAAGCTTGACAAAGGCATTTGTGTTCAGGACTCCCAGGATGACAAACTGAAGAGACTTTTGCGATCGCTTAATCTCTTCCCCCATTTGACAGATGAGGAAACTGAGGCCAGCTTGGTGACCAGCCTTGCATGAAGTGTTAGGAGCTAGTTAGGAACAGGGTGATTTTCTTGGAAGTTCTTGAACTCTGAATGGCATTGCCTGCAGGGGCCAGATGCCTTCACAGGGAGCACTGTGGGGGAGGGTCCCCCTTAGTGTATGCCCACTGTGGGCTCAGCCACGTACCCTGGTGCTTGTGGCATGCCCCCTCCCAACATCTTGGACTTGCCCCCATCACATGGTCCTCAGGTGGGACAGAAATCTGCTCTACCATCTGCGGGGTGGGGAGTGCCTCTCCTAGAGTGGGTGGTCCTGATTAAGGGGCTGTCCAGGTTTCCAGAGAAGGTGGGCGCCTCCCTGGGGCGCAGGCCTTCCTGCAGACTGATCACCCCCAGACTCCCCCAGCGCCCCCTCTCCACACTCCCCAAAGATGCGCCGGGAAGGAGAGATGGAGGCCTGTGCCATGAGTCGAGTTCTTTATTAATTTTGACATTTGTTCAGCTGGTGTAGGGAGAATGGTCTATACATCAGAGTGGAGTGGGGTGTGCGGTGGGAAGTCCCTCCCAAGAACAGAGCGTGTGGGAGTCAAGAAAAAATCATTTTCATAACAATTTAAAAAAATCAAGGTGATTCCAAAACTTCTAAACAGCGTCTAAGGTGCAGACTGCAGCATTCTCTAGGCATTGTGTGGCGACCCCAAACCTCTCCCCTACAGCTCCTACTAGCAGCGAACGCAGCATGCCGCCGAGGCCCGGGGGCCGGCGGGCCAAGCAGCCAAGCCAGACAGAGCGACGAGCCAAAGCGCAACCGGGGCCGGGGCCGCGGCTCTACAGGAGCTACTGGGTCGGCGGCGGCAGCGCCCAGGCGAGGCGGCGGCAGATCGCGGCGGGAGGCGGCCCTGCGCCTGTCTTCCTCGGCCTTCACTGAGTCCGGCCGGCCGCGGCGGGGCGGAGGGACCGGCCGGCGGGGATGCTCTGCGCGCGGCCCCCGCGGGGGTTGGGTCTGGGGCTCGCGGACCGACGCGCGCGCTCGGGCTCCCACTCCCCGCCCGCCCCTCGGGGAGCCCGGCCAGCCCCGCCCGGACCCACCGGAACACTTGTGCGCCGGGGCCGGCCGGGGCCTCGGGGGGTGGGGGCTGACATCGAGGGAGCTTCTCTGCTACTTGGAAGGTTCGGATGTGTTCTGAGGACATCTCGGCAGAGAGGCAGGGAGGAAGGTGACCGGACATCCACACACAGTGGCCCTTGGGCGGGCGAGAAGAGCCTTCAGTCTCTCTCCTGGCCCGGAGGGTGCCGCGCAGGGCAGGCACGTTGTGCTGATTCGGGCCTCCCTCTGCCGGGGGCTCTGGTGTAACTTAAGGCTCTTCCCCGATGGCACCGAGGCGAGGAACAGCCAGCCGCCGTCTCCGTCCTGCCCTGACGGGGTCTTGGCCCAGGAGGGTCTCCTTCCAGGCTGGGGCCTCCTGGTGGTCAGCCGTGTCTCCCCCTGCGCTGCCTCTCCAGGGGGTTCAGGGTGGGGTGTTGGTCAGATGGGGGCACTGAGGCTGCCCAGCCCAGGCCCTGCATCCCGCGGCTGCCTGGACTTACAGCACCAAGTTCGCTCTGGGAGACCTCGGGGTGGCGGCTGACCTGAGAACGGGCAGGTGCATTCCCTAGGCCTACTCCCTTCCTTCCTCTTTCACTGAGAGACAGGCTGTACTCCTCCCGCAGCCTGGAGAAGTCCTCAGGAGCTGAGCTGTTAGTGCTTCGTACATACTGCTAAAGTGTTTCTATTGGTTTGCATAGTATTTATTGTTTTTCATATACACAAGGCTGATTACTGTACAGCTGACACTTTGAACACGGACTATGATATAAGTGCTTGAAGATATAGAAAACCTCTTCTCTATTGAACATGCTGGTGCAATCCTGGGACAGCCACCGGCCTTCCTCCCGCTGAGAGTGAAGACCCTTTCGGATGGGCACTGGCTCCCTTGGAGCCCTACAGCTAAGCCTGGGGGTCCTCGCCTCAGAGTCTTAAGTCCCTAACACGAGGAACCCCGAATGCACTCTGAAGGTAATGATTTTCCATTGGAAGATGATTAATACTGAAACTGGCAGAGAGAGAGAGAGAGAGCGACAACATAAAAAATTTCCAGTTTATCCACAGGAGAGTCTATACAACTTCGGATGTCACAGTAAAATCTGTGTGTATACTGAGCAGAGGGGAGAGGTGTGTGTGTGTGTGTGTGTGTGTGTGTGTGTGTGTGTGTGTGTATGTGTGTGTGTGTCCTGATGCCATGTAGAGTGTTCTGGAAGGTTCGGTCCACGGGGCAAGCAGCAGGGCTGGTCACATGTGGAGCGTGGAGGTGTGGGGAAGGCTGGTGGATGAGGGTAAGGGAATAAGGTGTGGAACTGATTTCATGTCTAGTTTTCTTTTGTTTTTCCTTTCCAGGAAGCTCACATGGATTTCTTACAGATGAGGTTGAAAAAAAAGTACCCTGTAACAAGTCGAAATTGAAATGATTTAAAAAAATATCTCATCCCAGCCACAAAAGAGCCCTTGTTTGCTGTTGCGTTCCGTGCTCTCCTGCGCTTGTTTTATGTCCCCCTCTCTCTCTCCCCCCTCTTGCTGCTTCCGTCCAGACTCCCGAAAGAGATCCACCATCACCAGAGGCAGGACAGAGGACTGTAGGTCATGCGTCTACAGTCGGTCGTTCATGCGAACAGGTGACTAAAGGACGTCCCTTACAGAGGTAATGCCGTAAGCCTCCAGGGACGTGTGCGCGGCTTCCGGGGCCTCGGTCCAGCTCTCGGGTGCGTGGCAGAGTGTGTGGAG